TATATATATGGCCCTATGTAGACATGCTGAAGTAAAACAATCCCTTAAACAGCAGGATGCATGAACAAATAGGCTAGTTAACTCGTGCAGTGGAATCTAGTCTCGCCAATAATTACGTCTCGAATAATTACTAAATAGCTTACAATTGAGATTGACGTGTGCTGCAGCCTCAATTGAACATAGAAACTGGTAAAGCCTTCACTTATATTGTCTTAATAGGCCTCTCGCCTCCCTCTGATTATTAAATTACACAATGACCCACAGAATCAGTGCACAGTCAGCTAAATATCATGCAAACATCACAGAGTAAGGCGTTTTTCTATAGGTTTTGTTGCTTTCTTTTCTTCCCAATACAAATGTTGTAATTCATGCACAGTAAGATCAAGTAGGTAAATCGTTTCTGGATTATTTAGTTTTATAATGACGTCCAAAATCACCTCACACTGCAAAATATATATAGATACGATTTAGGCATGTTGCTGCATATTTTGCTTGTTTAACTGTTGCGAAAACAGTAAAATCGTTGAGCAGGTTTAGTAGTTTATGGATTATTGTGATTGTTAACGTATTTATTAAACTGTATCATGACGTCTTCATATCTAGACAGAAAAAAAATGTCTCTTTGCTAGAGAATGTTTCGTTAATTTAAACAGAAACGTTTAATTTCAGGCAAAAATTATGCCTTGAATAACTTCAAAAGTTTCTGTATTAATTGAAGTATTATTAGTCTGATTATTAAAATGTACAACGACGTTTTCACAGGTATCAACAGAAAAAAAAAATGTTAATGCACGCAGTGAAATTTAGATACGCCTTTTCTGGATTATTAAAGTGCACAATGACGAAACCACATCAAATACAATCAACAGACAAAAAGCAGGCTTTCGCGACAGGTTTGCCTTTTTATTAGGCTATTTATCCACAAACGAAAACCTCACTCCATGCAAAGGAAAGGCCGTAAGATCGTGCAACTTTTGAGTAAAGGAGTTTGCTCACCTGTAATAGTCTTCTTTGCAGTAGATGCTTCCGTCTTTGCTGAAGCAGGTGAGTTCAGACTCCAGGTTGAGTTTACACTCGCAGCACTTCAGACAGCGCATGTGCCACTGCTTGTCCACGGCGAGCAGGTAATAGCGGTCAGAGATCTTCCCTCCGCAGCCCGCGCACAGAGCCACCCGGTCCCCGCTGATCGAAGGCATGTTCTGCACAAACACAGGCGAACAGCGCGCTCATTAAAGGCAGGAGCTCAAATCCCAGTTTCATTGAAACACTCTTTTTCTTCACCATTATCTCCAGTGTTATACAAATGAATATTTCTAATGGCAGATTAGTAAAAGATAAAATAGCCTACATAACGCGTATTTAAAGAGTCTGGGTTCAGGACTGAGTGAAAACTCTATTTTAGGCATTTTCTGATTAAAAACGTCCAAAGAATGAGGTATTACTAGTGTTCACTTCTGTAGAGAATGGGAGGGGCGTGAGATTCAGAAGATAAATACAGAAGTGTATTCAGTGAGTATACTATGATTTGTATTTAATATTTCCCGTGACAACGGACTGCATGCATAAAAAGGAAATAACGGCAAGAAAAGATTATATCATGCATGCATCCATTCACGTCGTTTTATGTTTAACAAAGGCACAATTTTGGAAAATGTGATACATATGTAATCAAAGACTGAGCTTGTTTTATTGTGTTGACTTTCGGCGTGTTGTGTGGCCTTAGATACACCACACACCAAACACACGTAATGTATGTAGGCTCTATACACACACTCAATTGTGTAATAAAAATATTGTTTTAATCTTTATTATTTCTTTATTGTAATTTTGGATTTGCCATCGTATAAGTTTTGAGATGCAGTGTTAAAAATGTCCAAACAGTTTTAAGCGTCGTAAGTGTAGGCTATTTTTTCTAAAGTAATATTGTAATGGCAAAGGAATCAATGTAAAGGTTCAGCATTGTCTTTTTTTGTTGTTAATCAGATATTACGGCCCAAAACAATGTCAGTTTATTTAGAATATTTGCTAATGTTTTTATCATAACTATATCACTCGTATATTATGAACAAAGAAAATGCATTATTTTCGCGTCACTTGAAGTTCAGCAGCACTGCATAAGCATTTGTAAAGTAATTAGAATTTCTTTTAAGTATATCAGTATTTGTACAAAAACAAATATGGATTTTTCTTGCTCGCTAATTCCTTTTTATTTCATCATCTTTAGCGAATAACCACACTTTTGCAGTCGAAATTAAATTGGACTACAGGCCATTTAAAATTGATACCGCATCGCGTAGCTTTCTGTAACTATTTGCAATCCACCCGTGACAAAAGATTTACACGCAATGCATTGAAGACGAGGCCTGTGATTTTTGGTTTTGCAGAAGTTTGAAGTTTGTTTAAATGGACAAGATTGGAATCACATCTGTGGGCCTCTATTGCACTGTTGGAATAACGGTTCAGTTAATAGAGGCTGTTAGGATTTCCAAGCAAGCGCCTGGAGCGAGAGGCATGGCTTTCTCCTACCGTCTCTGTTTCCCCCATATCTATGGCCGAGCTGATAGTCGCCGAATCGCTCTTTCCTCTCCGCTCCATTTCTTCCATAACACCATGCATCTCGCCTCCAGGCAGACCGTGGAAAAGCATCGTTGCCGCAGATGAGACCGAATAGCACTTGTTTCCGTCAGATCTGCAACCCAAGATTTCCGTGAGACGCACTTCTAGCCCTGTGCAGTTCATATGACTTCTCTCGCTCTCATCAAATAATTCCCGTTAGGAGGATCTGATCGGTCTAAACGGTATTCGTTTATCAGAACTGTCAACTCCGTATTCTGATGGATTCTTTTAAATGCATCAGAGTATGAGATCGCAAAACATGCACCCAGTACAGATTGGTTTAGCCTATGAGAGCATTCCGGAGCTTTGAGGACATACCAGCTACTGAAGCCCCTCTACATGTGTGACACTGGACCCTCCTATTTCTTCGTGAGTAACTTTCAGTTACCACATTTTGGACATGCATTTGTCAGTGTAAGATCTCAGTTTTTCTTTCTTGTCTTTTCATAAATCAGTTTTGGAGCATGACTGCTGCCGGTCATTACGCACACACACACACACACACACCAAAAAAAAAAAAATCGCCGAAGAATTAAAAAATATACATAATCCCGAAATGCCTTGGAGGAACGACTACAATGACGATTCAGATTCTGCAAGCGGTTATATCTTCATCCACGTCTCTTCACCTCCTCCACGACAGTTTGTCATCACACGCACACACCAAAAATGTCCAATTTTAGTAGGCTTCAGCTTGGGTAAAAATCAACTCAAAAAAGGTTTGTTCTGACAAATGAGGTGGTTGTCCAGTCATATACAGCATTAGCTGTTGTTGTTCGTCCCGCATGCAGTAGAGGATCAGCCTGTAAGCAACTGAGTAGGAGGAGGAGTTGAGGACACTTTTGGTTTGTATAATCCAGTGAAGACAGTGAGGTTCCCTGCGCTCTTCCCTCTCCGAACGTGAGCAAACCCAACGCGCCTTTTCTACCGGGACTTTGACGTCACGCCGTTCCGTTCGTGATTATTGGCTGTTCGAAGCCCTGATATACGCACTGTATCGAATTGTTGGAGGGATTTTGATGTCAGCTGGACCGAAATTTGATGGTAATTCAAGACTTTCTCAAATGACACATTTTCGACCCATGATTTATGCTCATTTCTTTTTCTATAGATAACTTGAATGCGTTTGAAATTTGTGCCGCGCCGATTTGCGACTTGATTTCATTCATTCTAATTAAGCCTGTTTTTTAATATGGAACTGTAAGTCAATGTCTTATGCCATGAATTGCTTAATGTGAAAATAATAATTTGCCTTCTTTTTACCATTGGCTCAAACCTATTCGTTTTCGGATTGATCTGCTTTACCAGACAAACCACCTCGGTGTAGATCTCCGGCCCCGGACACATCCCCGTGACTGCTTTAAACAAAAGGATCCAGAAGAACGGAATACTCTCTTCCCTACTTGACAGCATTGAATGTACAACTCATCTGAGAAGTTCAATTAACGTCAGTGTCACAGTCAATTCGGCTGTTTCATCACTCTAACCTGCTTTTTGCACTTCTATATTGTATTGTTACCAAACGTTGGGAAGATGCAATACTAATAATCTCTTTTATGTGCGTGGTTTTTCTCACATTAATATTTTTCACATTTATAAGTGTAATATTTTCTTAATTTTTAATGTCATTCTGTGAGCATTATATTTTCCCCCAAACTCCCAAAGCTTTCATTGATATATTATTATTATTATTTTCTTTATTTAAAAAATCTCAATGAGGTGAGTGGTTGGAAAGCTAAGATCATCCATTATTAATGGGGCGTCCTCTTTTGTACCTCATATGGACTGCTGTGAGCCACTGGTTCCAAATCCCAAAAGGCCATATATTTGTTTTACTTATACAGTCCATCCAGTATAATAGGTGATGATTCTAACAGCGCAGAGAGAGACACTTCTCTGATGTCCACGCAGTGAATAAAGGGGTGGAAAAAACAGACAGAAGCACAAAATAGATTATGTTTAGCATATATTATAGTCAAGTCATTTTTGCGTTGGCGTTTTCAGTTGCTCATTTAGATTTTGTAGGTTTTGTTTTTACTCTAAGAATTCATAAAGCACTCTTAACTGGCGCTCTGAACTTAATTGGCGAGACAGTATTAATTTCGAGCCCTAGAGAGCTGCGGACCTCAGGAACAAACCAGTGGGAGACAAATTCATACAGCCCCCCACGTGACTCGTGTTTTAACAAAATAGGCATGATATAGGTCGACGCAAAAATCAATTGATTTTTGAGTTAACATAGCATTGATGCTCCGCAGAGAATTGGATTTATATATATTTTTAATGCTTTTATATGTTGTATTGTGAAGTCCATATGCTTCACTATAATCACAGCAATGCTTCAACCCAGTTAAAAACAGAGTTTTGCAGAATAAGCGCTGTAGTAACAAATACTGTTCATTCAGTCTTTGTTCGTACAGTATTTGCTTTCGGCTTCCCATTTGCATTATAGCCCATTGAACACGAAGCATGCACAAAATAATAAATAGTGCAAAATATTTTACATTTTGTGCAAAAGTTTTGAAATAATGTACATGGCGCCAAAATAAGAATGCTTAGCCTAAGCAGTGTGTTTACACTAGGTATATTAGGTTTAATATTTACATGTGAAATTTCTGCCAAAACTATTGGAATTGTGTTTGGGTTTAATTACAATTCATAAACAATGTTCTTGTACACCGTTTCAAAACCAAAATCTTTATTTCGAGAAGTTGCGGGAAGAGCTCGTTAGTTGCTCAAAAAATTGTCATGGGTGCTTGTTTATTCTTCAAAACGCTTCTGCACCCTCCAATAAGACAACCTGAATGTAAGCGTGTTTCCAAGCAGCACAACAGATTAAGGCTGGCATGAACTCTGACACAATATCAGCTTGTGTCTTATAAACAAACACCTGGCTTTTTGACAAGATCATGAGCTTCACATATATTTCTGGGAAGTGTAACCTTAGGGAACTGTGTATTTTAACTCAGTGCTGTGAACGAAGGAACTAATAAACATTCTTTAAAATGGGCCGTTTATTGTATGTGGCTCATAAATTGTTAATGATGTTGATGTAATCGATCGTCATTAGCTATATAATGTACTTGAAGCAGGTTCAGCTCACTGAATGAAGAAAAGTCACTGCTGGTTTGTCTCAAACATATGGACCATTCAAACGCTTTAAGGGGAAGATTAGCTTATCTGAGGGAATTTAACCCATCGTTTTCTAGCAACTGACCTATCACCGAGTGACATTGTCCAAATTATTCTTGTGAATTCCATCGTTTTTTTTGTTTTGTTTTTTTTTGTATCACACAATATAATAAGGAGGGGAGATGGTCAGCAATACAGACATGCAGGAGAAAACAACAGGACTCCGAGATCCCTAGGAAAACACTTTAGGCTACGCACTCAATGAAAAATCATAGAATTCTCCGCTCCAAAAAATACACACTATCTGAGCTGCCATGAGAGAAACAGGTGCAGCTACTGTTTATGTAGTGACAAATATACCAGTCACAATTTACCACAGTCCTGGCAGTCATTGGGGCCCATTAAGCTGATCTGAACTGTGATGATAGTAGTAGCTATAGTAATAATAATGTAGACAGATTATTAATCAAAGTACCCACGGCATGGAAAGGCAGGCTTTAATATTAAAGTTGTATTGCACAAATATGAAAAGGCATGTTAAGCTCCAAAATCCTTATGCAAATGAAATCCTGTGTAATACCCTTAATTGAATACATGCATATTTATAATGTGCGCTCTCTGTCTAGTATAGGCTACTAATGTTGGCTTATACATTAAACATTTCAGTGCGTGATATCGTGAGGCGTGTGCGAAATATCGTGATTCCGTCAAATCTAAAAACTGCGGTTAAGGACAAAACACATAACCTCTAACACTTAAACTGCATCTACACTTCTGAGCATATATGTAGTTTGCTTACAGACAGTGTGCGAATTATAGGGAGCAAACCTAAGCAAACCTTATTCAAACCCCTTTTAAGGTTTGAATAAGGAAAGGGGCGTCTTAGTAAAAGATTTTTTTTTTTTTTTTAAATGCAAACAAATAGGCTATTTGTATGTTTCAATAGGGGTTTTCAAACGTTTCATTAACGCTACAAGTACGACTACAAGTTAGTCAGAGCGCATAGCGAATTTCACCTGTCGCGTTTTCGCTAAAGGGAGGTCATCATAGCAACAGTAGGCTACACTGCGCACGCGCTTTCCAATAGGATCAATTTGCGTAAGCATGACTTTTTTTGTCACTTTATTGTAGAATTAGATTTACATAATAAAGATAATAATAGTTTTAGTAAGTATTTTAGAAAAAACGTTTGTTTTTTTTTTATAAATAAATAAATAATTGACATTTAGCTAGTTAGTTACACGCCAAATTACAATTTGCATTGCGTGAGACGACATTATGCCCTGAAAACTACCTTTACAGTTAATACATTTAATAATTTAAAATTCCCTTTAAAAAGTCGACCATTTGAAAGTCACAGTATAACTCGTAAACTTTTTATAGCCTAGGCTATTTCCCCTTTTACACAATTATGTATCAGTTTAGTTCACTGTGGTTTTCATGCCACCCTGTTTGGTTTGTCAAACAGCGTCTCTAATTTCATAAACGTCTGCTTTATATTCCTCAGTGCTGTTTCAGTCAGATCTAATAACTGGAGCTCGGTGTTTAATATGGTTTGTATTCAAACACCAGGGAAAGCGAGCGCGTTTTGTCTGCCGCCTTTGTATCTCTCCCCGTGATAATTCTATCTAGCTCTGATCAACCCACTGATATTTCTGTGCTGAGATTTGGGGCTTTCACTACGAACGAATAGAGCAACACTGACCCACTCCCGGTGAACGGATCGTTAATCATTTATCCAGAGAGAACAGTGAAAGCTGGGCTGAAAAAATACCGACAGAATATATTTTATAATAGTAAATGACACAATATAAAAATAGCAGATATTTTGAAAGCGAAAACTGAAACCCCAATAAACCTGTTTTAAGTTAACACAACTAAATAGACTGAATGAAACGATGCACGACTAAAATGGATGTTGTTTTACACACAGAGCATCTGTTGGCTGTCTTGTATGCGCGTTCTCTCAGCTCTGAATTAAAAGTGGATGGATAGTGCTGTTTCGTGGCCCTTCTTTTAACCTGTTAATGAGTTCAAGGTTTGCCCTTCTTCTGTCTGAATCAGATTCTTCCGATGAGGTGTGAGAGCGGAGACCAATAACAACTTCCTCATCATGAGTCATGACACTGCTCTTCTGACAAGACTGATGCTGAGTTCAAGATGGATGAGAGGAACGAGTGTTTATAGCCTACTGGACTATTGCCAAAATATGATATAGACTACATTATCTGTTCGTAGCTATGTTTAGGCTATGTCTCGAGAAAAGCAATTCTATTTAGAAAAATATACAAAATTTAATTCCGATTGACTTAATGGAGAAATATCAGAAACATTAGTATGTAATTTAATATCTATACAGTAGTCCTATATTATTATTATTATTATTATTTTATAGGCTACCCCTTTAGCTTTAAAAAAAATTATGCATACTTATGCTTGCCGTAATGTATAAACGCATGAAATAATAGACCTGTATAAGGAGGTCGTCGCTCCAGTTAATTAGACAGTGTTGGGCATTATAGGGGAGCGGAAGATCTCTCTCTCTCTCTCTCTCTCTCTCTCTCTCTCTCTCTCTCCCTGCGACCAAAGATTGTTGCGACTGGTTTCCTCATGTTCTGAAATCTAGGCTTTAAAAGATTGCATTGACACAGTGCATGATTAAAGAACAATTTGTCTAAATAAGATTAAGCCGATATATTCAGAGCTTTATTGGCATTTACTGCTAATACACTCTTAAAAATAAAGG